CTTTATGATCGACGCATGACAGTACGTTTGGACCGAATACCCGACAAGAGCGAAGGTCTAAAGCTGCCCGAGGGATTGGGTGGCGTTGGCATCGGCCTAGGGCCCAACGGTGAGCCACTGAAAGATGTGGCCCACAATCTGCCGAATGGCGGCAATCAAAACGCCACACAGCTGCTCGGCAATGTACAGGGCGCTCAGCAGTTGTCCGCGGTTCCTGGCGGCGCTGTTGTCGGCGGCGGTAACTCAAACGCAAATTTGCTGGGTAGCCTCAGTGGCGTCATGTTTGGTAACAACGCTGCTGTGCAACCCTCTCCAGTGGCACCAGTGCAGAAGCCGAGCATGGGCAACAACGCTGGCGGCGGCGGCGGTGGCATCAATCTGAATAATTTAAATCCCAGCAACTTGGCTGCTGTGGTTGGCAACTTGGGTAACCTGGGAGCAGCGCTGTCCAATCCACTGCTCACTTCATCGCTGAGCACCCTAGGTCTCAATTTGGGGAACACTGGTGGCAACGATGACGGACTCGTTTCCGCCAGCAATGTTGGCCTAACCAACAACTACAGCAGCGGTGGCGGCTATGGTAATGCCGGTAACAACTATAATAGTGGCGGCAACAGCGGTGGCACTGGTGGTGGTGGCGTCTCTGGTGGCAATGTTGGGTTCAATGCATACAACAGCAGTTCTGGTGGTGGCACAAATTCCGGAAACAACCAGATCGATGGCAATGACTACGGCAACTCGGGCAATCAGTTGGACATGTTTGGCGGTGGCGGTGGCAACGTGGGCGTTGGCGGTGGCAATGTCGGTGTTGGTGGCGGCGCCGGCAATCCCGGCGGCGGTCCCCGCAAGTCTGATACGATCATCATTAAGAATGTGCCATTGAGCTGCACCTGGCAAACGCTGCGTGACAAGTTCCGTGATGTTGGCGATGTCAAGTTTGCTGAGATACGTGGCAATGATGTGGGCGTAGTGCGCTTCTTTAAGGAACGCGATGCGGAACTGGCCATAGGTAAGAAATCAGTGCATTTGCATTTATTATGTAGACAACTTTTAACAACCTGCTAAATCGACAGCTCTCATGGATGGCTCCCGCCTGGATGGTCGCACCATTAAAGTAACCTACTTTTAAGCTGCATCCCCTAAAATTGTAGAGCGCATTTTCCGTGTGAATGAACCGCATGACCTTCTAGACACGACCATCGGTTTACTTTAACCAAGAGCAAACAGCAAAGCAAAGCAGACGTGGCTAGGTTATTGCAATGTTTTTAGTTCATAGTGACCACAAACAAATAATTGTTTAATTTTTATACATACGTTTACATTAATCATAACAAAAATGATCATAATATATAAATAATTGACTTTCCAAAACACAGAAGACGCAATTCATCTAATTTATAAGTGATTGAAGCCAATAAAAATATAAATATATTAAACACATCATCTGTGCACCTCCCTTTAAATATTAAAATAGAAGCCTTTGGCTCCGATAGCCTGTTAGAATTAGGTATTTATTTATTTTGTCTGAATAGAGACTTACAATAATCGATACAGCAGCTAGTTGAAAGGTCAATCCAACTTCGCACAGTTTAAATGTAATAAATTCTGTGCAGTTATTATCTGGCTTAACAGTTACATGTATATAATTGGTGATTGATTGTGGCTTAAATAAAAAAGTGGATGCTGAGCTGAGTTGTTGCACAGCGCGTGTGACTTATTTTGTCGGCGCGGCAGCAGCCGCAGGTGCAATTTTAAAGCGTTCCAGGCGGGCGCGCGCCTTTTCAGCCCATTCGTTCTTGGCCTTTGGATCGCCGGCAGTTGCTGTTGTTGTGCCAACAGTATTACCGAAGCGTTCCTTACGTTTTTGCAGCCGCTCATCGACTGTGGTTTTCGGGCTCTTCTCCGGCACCACACAGCCAAAACGTTCGGCACGTCTCTTCAAAGCCTCCTTTTGCTGTTCCTCCGTTTCCTTGTTGCCCTTGTTGGCCTTTATTGAAGCCGACGAAGACTTGTTGACCGCTGATGAAGCAGTTGCAGCTGAAGCAGCAGCGGCTTTCGCATCGAGGGCAATACCAAACTTCTTGGCACGCATCTCTAAACGCTCTTGTGCGCTTAGTTGGATTAGCTTCTTGTCGGGAGTGGATGTGGAGTCTTTGCTTTGCGTTGCAGAACCACCAACCACAATTGGTTTTCGATGCGTTTTTGTGGGCTTATCAGCCTCCAATGATCCAGCTACACTGCCCGCAGTATCAGGGGCGGCATTCTCCTTCGATGGCGTTGTTGTTGCTGTCGTGACCGTTGTCAATAGCGGCTGCGAGTTATTCCGTTTGAGCACGATTTTTTTAGCTGGCGGCGAAGCGGCACTTGCATCTGGATTTGAATCCGTCGCTGTTGCTGTTGGAGATGATAAATCTGGTATTGTTGTTGTCGTAGGCGTGTTCACTGGGCTCTTTAACAGCAAGTCCTCGTGATCTTCACCCAATAATTTATGCTCGTCTTCATCCGTGAACGAGACATCGTCATCAATAGCGTCATTTATTGCGCTATCTTCCAACGAAATGTCGCCTTCCAGTAACGCCGTTTGCAAGCGGTCTTGTAATTCATTTTTATTGCCGTTCAATGGCAACCCACGCAGCTTCAACTCTCGCTTTAAATCCGCAACCTGGATTGGTTAAAACATGTTTTCTTGCTGTACATTGATTATTAATATGAAAATTACTCACCTTCATTTTAGTAACGTCGGTTTCGGGCATTTTATTGCTGTTTTTATTTTGTTAATTTGCGGCACAAACAAGTTTTCTATCAAATAAGTTATGCCTAGCAGTATGGCAGCTCTGTATGAAATAGTGTCAAGTTATCGATAATAACATTTGCTGTAATTAACAGAAGTGCTGTACAATGCTATCAATGCACTAAACTAAGTGATGTAAAACGAAAAAAAAAAAAAAACGCTTAGAATCAAATTCTCACTTTGAATCTGACAAATTGCTTACAAAATCGATTTTGGATTCAATATATATATACGAAAGAATGTGCAAATGACCAAAGTCGAGCTTATATTAATATAAATGCTCCAAATCAAACTTATTTCGATTTATCATATGTGAAAATGGTGACTGGAGATTCGACGCTTTGCTCCAATGTTCCATTGGTCATCAAATTCGGAGTAATTTTTTTGATGCGCCGAGCTGTACGTGCTCTACTTGTCCGTTCTACGGTTAGTGTTTCAACTTTACAGTAATTGGTATTCATTTTTGGTATTTTCGAATTCACGTTATATGGTCATACTGTACATGAAGAACTTCCCATCAACAATGTCTTTCGAAAGTCAACGCACCAAACAAACATGATATTCAATATGCAAACCATCCGCTCTCGAGTGAGCGAGTATATTGGATTTGTGCATATATGCGTTCGTCTGTTCTTATGAATATAAAACATTGTTCGTCTCACATATATTTTTATATAACCAAAGGCCCAAGTAGCCAGTGCTTAACTCTAGGTTAGTTTTAATTTTATATAAACTGTAACGTCTAATAATTTATGTTGTATGTCTACATATACATATTCATATTCAAAATCTTTTGGACACAAAAAATGAATTTATGATAAAAAAAATCCGACCGGAAAAGGGAAAGTGAATGCAATAATATCTTGGGCCTATTTCTGCATCGACGTACCTTGAGAATATATTGTTGCTATAAATGATTTCAGCTCAGGGTATAAAAACGAAAACGAAGCTACGAGAATGGGGAACGTGTGGATGCTTCACCCGCAGGGTGACCTTGAATTGTAAGTGTGTTGCTGATAAAGTGTATTGCTTTGAAGTGAATACCGGCGTGCCACAGCACCTGTTCTCTTCAGCACACACACACACTGCTACAAAAATGCTCTTGAACACACATGTTGCTCATGTGGCACATAAGTAGCTGTATCTAATTGGCACTGCAGCATACTTATATTTATTAATAATTTTTCCGGTCTTCCCTTTGTGGAGGCCACGGCCCACGCATTAACCTTTTGCCTGTCAGCATTTAAAAAGAGTTTGCCTCCCTTTAAGGCATGGGCATGAGCGTGAACATGAGCACGGACATGGGCAGTGCAATAATAATTATAATTAATGCCTAATCTGCTGGCAAACGTGAATTGTGTGCTGTGGCTGTTCCACTTCTTTGGCCATGCCTTGGCCGTACATAGGGAACTTTAATTACAGTTACAACGACTTAACGGGCACGCATAGGAGCACGAGTGCGCGGTCAAGTCGTTGATTAATTGGTCATGACAGTCGCGTTTATGTTCTTCATATACGGATTACGCAATAACGAGTTAAAGGCGTTACTCAATGTTAATTCTAGTTTTACTGTTAATTAAGTGTTAATCATCTGACTACAAAGTAATTGAACTATTATTACGATGTTTAATTATAATTTCACATATAAAATGTGCTTTGATTGCGGTTAGCGTTATTAAGGTACACGGAATCTGAGAAAGCCCTAAATGACTAATATCCACTTTAAAATTAAGTGTTCTAAATTATATATGAACGTAAATACTATATAATAATATTCATTAAACACTGAGTTTTTGCTTAAAGAGAAGAGCTGCTAAGTGGATTTCGATAGGCCTTATCATCCAGCAGCAACAGCGGTCCTTTGGCCAAACTGATCCGAGGAATCGGAAAGAATATAAAAAACTCACTTTAATGTTTTCAAACATAATTATTTCTCATGTGTTCTTTATTGATTGATAGACTATCTCTAAAACATATTCTTATTTGCTTTATGGCTGAATGGCGTTGCTCCTAACTGAGCTTCCAAAACACTTTTACTTCAATAACTACGCTCAATTGCTCAAAACGATTTTCATTTGGTGCAGTTTTGCTCTTACGCCTTCTACGAATGTTCTCTCCGCTCATTGACTGCTCTCTGCATTCAGGCGAATTGTGGTTGGGCTGGGCCACTAGCCAGTGCCCTCTCAGCGTCTTCTGTATGGTGCTTGCTCTCAGTTGCGTGTTGACTGCCCGGGTGATCGGTTGTGCCAGCTTTGTAGCTGTCGTGTTTGTACTGAGTGTCCAAGTGTTGCCGTGCTGCGTCGTGCTTCCAAATACGTTCACTGATCAACAGACGTCATCGCTAGAGGCGGACGTGTGGCTCGATTGATTTGTTGCAAACAACAACAGTATATATATTGAATATATATATATATATTTAAACAAAAGCAAAGCGAGAATACTAGTGCGAGTATATATAAGTACGTGCTGTGTGCGCTGCAATTGAAATTGCACGCAACTTTAATTTGGCCGTAACGCCAAAGCCCCATACTCAATACAAAATAATAATACGTATTATACACATACATGTACATATAAACGGCTTTGCTGACCTTGTGCAACTGCGTATCTTAAACTATGCGTATGTGTGTGTGTGTGTGTATCTGTGCGTATGTTTTGTGTAAACATCATTAACATAATCAGTAGAAAGCATCTTGACAACAGTTTTGGCTTTGCAACCTGTTCACTGCATTCTGGGCTAACACAACTTCTACAATACTTCCACTGCTGCTGCTGTTGTTATTACTCTTTTTGCGTTTTCTTTTTCGATTTTTTGGTATCGTTTTCGTGATCACCTCTTTATCACCTGAGTCACTTTTGTATGGCGCTCACGTCACACGCTCACACAAACGCCCGCCCAATGGCTCTGGCTCTGACTCGGACTCTGTCTCTGGCTGTGGAATGCCAACCAGCTTTTTGATTACAGCTGCTCTCTCGCTCTCCCACATACGCGCCGCCTTTGTCTACCACTCTCTCGCTCCCTCTCTCCCTCGCTCCCTCTCTCATTCTATCTATTGCTCGCTGTCTGGCTCTCTGGCTCCGTTTTAGGCCCGTTACCATTTTTAGTTAACAACAATTATATGGCTGCCTATCCATTAAAGGCCAGCTGGCTAGGGCGCGTGTATATGTGTGCGCTATCACAGGAAACCTTCAAGTACGTGACAACTAAAGGCCCCCTCTACACCCAATACTTTGCCGGCGATCTGCATCAAATCAACAGCGAATCAATCTAATACGACCTATGCCATAAAATATGACCCCAATTAATTAAACTAATTGACGGCGTGTGCGGAGCGAGACCCCTAGCCAAATCGCAACCAATTTCCCCACATCATGCATATATATATGTACATATGTATAATATTTATATATTTGTGGTCTAACGTTAAACCAGCTTCATAGTTGCACTTATCGTGCTTTCCAGTTGATTTCATTTTATATGGCGCAGAGGAATAATCGCACACACCTATGTACATATACATACATGTATCTTATCTAATCTCTTCATTAAATACCAAAATACAGAGAGACACCATAAAACAAAATACACATACGTACATACGTATATGTATAGAAAAAAGTGAATAACAACAGTTCTTTTTTACGGTTGCCATATGCGGTTTATAAGAACAATTGATCTTAATACTACATAAATATATATATATATATATATATATATATATAGGTAATAGCCTAATGCAGATTATGCGCTAATCAACATTGTTTTCAGTACTTTGATCTCCTGAGATATAATAGTTTCTTACAAATCTGTTTAAGTTGTCTGGGAAAATTGAATCATTTCCAATCATTTGAATTATCAGACGCTCTGGCAATTTATTGAGCTTTACTTTTATATAGGAAAATGACGGAATGATAAGAATGTAAACATATTGAATTTCTCATTTCATTTTGTAATCGAGTGTAACGGAAAAACAGCTGCAACTATTGCTCATAACTTACTGTTTGACTCTAATGAGAATATAAATAATACTCATAAGCGAGTGCTTTTCTTGAATAGGCATACACATAAATATTTATATACATCGCTATATAGAGTAATACTTATTACATTCACTGCATCTACAGCCTATTCGTATTCGTACTCGTTTAATATGATGCACAATGCGATTACAATGCACTGATAAAGTCACAAAGGAGTGTGGACAACAGCTGAAGATGCTAAAGACTGTCCCAGACATAAGTAATGGGATATTTCTGCATATATAAGCTCTATGTACATATATATTATACACTGTATATTCAATAAACTCACTTGAGCTATGAAATAATGCAGAGAATGATCCATTAATTCGCATTAAGCAATTTTTGAATTTAAGCGGACTAATGGAGAGAGACAGAGAGAGCTAACGACAGAGAGAGAAGGAGAGCGCGGGAGAGAGAGAGTGCATTGGCAATGAGTGTGAATGTTGCAAGTGTTCCAAGAATATAACGACAACAACAACAAAACTGTAACTTGATATGTAAAGTTTATAAGAGGCCAGCGCAGACGCTGCCCCAACGGCTGCCCCTTTCCCTTGCCCCTGCCCCTGCCCCACACCGAGCGATAACAAAAACAGAAAAAAACTCATTTTCCGTATTTCCCATTTCATGAAAGCGTAATTATGTTTTAAGTAATTTATTATGTGTATTAATTACAATGAGAGCATTTGTCGAGTCTCGCTGTGTGCTGTGCTGTCTGCTTTTGGTTAGAGCATTTCCTTTATCACATGACACATAATATACGTACATGCATACATATACGTACTATATATTTGTGTAGTTGAGCTAGACTGTTCTTTGTAGCCGCAGCAATATTTATGATATCCAAATATCTATGTACATATGTATGTATGTGATCGAAATTCGCAGTTGGTTTTACATCAACAACAACGAATTGCAATGCAAAAGAAATACCTGATCAGCCGCACCAAAATAGCAAAAATTGGCTTCCTCTTCCTCTTTCCATTTTTGTTTTTTTTTTGGGTTTTGGCAAAATTTCCAAACAAACTTCAACGGCAGCCAGTGAAGCAGCCAACCATTAAGTAGTATTAATACCAACAACAACAGTGTAGCAACAACAACGCCAATAGCAAATTCACTCGCGTAGCTGAACTGAAATAAATAAACAACACTTGCTTTTGTTTTTGCTTTTAATTGGTTATTCTCTTGTTCGACGCTTTTTTATAGTAAATTATTATAAACAAACCAAATGTTTTAGTGACTAGCGTGCAAATAATTTACTTTGTATATGGCGGCGCAGCAAGTGTATCTCAATGTACATATATCTGTACATACATACATCATGTACATACATATGTATTTACGTCTGTTACTATTTATACAAGCAGCTGATTAAGCAAACTTTGCCAAAACGTTCTCAATGATCAGATGTGGAGAAACACACCTGACTGAAAATTCCATTGAAACGTTTTTAAATGAGCAACTAACAAGTGGTCATTGCATTTTTACTTGAGATGGATGTATTATATGCATTAAATAAATTGATTACCGATCTCTTTGCTGCGAACGTATATCAATTAGTTAACAGCATTATATTCATAGAACAACATGAAAATAGAAACAGCAGCATATTAACAGCGTACTGTTATCAATAGCGTAACAGAGAGTTTAAGTCCCCAACAAAACAAATTATTGGAAGATCAATTGCAAAATCAAGAACGAAAGAGTAAAATTATAAATAGAAATGGCAGCATATACATGCAAAAATAAATGAAAAAAAAAAGAAACGAAACTACAAAGCAAGCACTTAACCCCAGTTGGGATCCCTATACAGCAATTAGCTTTAATTGTGCGCTTGGGGAGGAAATAGGGGCCATGGTAGCGTACTGAAATGTCGGATGTTAGCGCCGCACATCAAAAAGTCCGATTGCAGTTGAGCATAAAGTTCAGGGCCTTCTGAGCGCGTGGCCTGCAACTGAATGCAACTGAAACGACAACAGCACTACGTTCAAATTCTTTGTGCCAAAAGTTCAAATGGAAACGGTAAACGATGATCAACGTCTGTGAATATGTCAATATAACCGGTTTTCAGCTGTAACTGCAGTCCGTTGTTGCCTCCACTTCTGATAAAAGTTTCATTATTATATTATGTGGGCTGAGACCTGTTGGCAGCCTTTTGGATGAGTCACTAGATTCAAATCGTCATCTAGGCGCACATACGCTCTTAGATTTCGTTGCTCACATCCACAACAGCGTCTATAATTGTAATAAGAGTTTGCTCAGTCAATTTACTGACGATCTTACGGCATGACTCATGTCTGAAGATTTCTGTTTCCCAGAATCAGTATGAGTTTTCTGCGTAAAGTGTGGAACTCCAGAGCGTTCGGACTCTAACTGTAACTGTATGCAAATTAAACATTTGTATCTCTGCGACACTGTTTAGCACTGGACTTGAGATGCTGTAGGGAAATCTAGTTCAAGTTTTGGGTCAACAACTCGTTTGGTTGACGTTGGCTAAAAACCAGTTTTAATTAAAAAACGAAAACTAAGAAAACATTTATCAAACATAATTTTGTTTGCTTGGTGAAAGTGCATAAGTTTTTCAAATGCCTTTTTGTTATATAAGGCAATCATAACAACAGCAACAACAATAAGAAATCACAAAACTGTGACAAAGTTTAATGAATTTCGCAGAATAGCTAAGTAAACATTCCGAATGGACCTTTATAAAAACTTTTAATTGAATTGTTAATACTTTTTGCAGCTGTCTGTGTGCAATTTCGTTAACAATTTAAATTGTAAAGTTGATTTTTTGTTGATTAGATTAAGCGCTTTGAAGTTCAAGTGTTAACAGCGCATTGCTGATAACAGAAGCTATAAGTAACAGCTTAGACTTATGTTAAGATATCGAGCTTTGCGAATGTGAAGAAAACGCGCCCGTATACGCATACACACACACACACAAACATGCACAACGCAGATTTCCGGTTGCAGTGGGATGTGGGTGTGGCAAGATAAACAACGCATGTCGCTTCAACATATGCCACCAAATGGTGCAATGCAACGCATTGAATGTCACACATGCATATGCACACACACATTCGCTCACATGCACACACATATACACATGTATTGACGCCTCGATTTCGCTTTCTTTATATTTTTCCAGTTCGTTTGCACAATGTCGAAAAGTCTGCGCCCTCTTAAAATAACCATCGTTGGCGATGGCATGGTGGGCAAGACCTGCCTCCTGATAACCTACACACAGAACGAATTTCCCGAGGAGTATATACCGACTGTATTCGATAACCATGCCTGCAACATAACGGTCGATGATAATGAATACAATCTAACACTCTGGGACACGGCCGGGCAGGAGGATTACGAAAGACTGCGTCCATTGAGCTATCCCAATGTAAGTATATAAATATGACTATATAAATAAACATATGTCGTATAACTTATCTAATCGGTTTCCTTTTAATTTCAATACAGACGAACTGCTTCCTATTGTGCTATTCCATCAGCAGTCGTACCTCTTTCGAGAACATTAAGAGCAAATGGTGGCCGGAGATTCGTCACTTTGGCACCAACGTACCCGTTGTTCTGGTGGGTACTAAGCTCGACTTGCGTATACCGAATTCGGAGAAATTTGTGACCACGCAGGAAGGCCGGCGGCTGCGTAAGGAGATTCATGCCCATAGTTTGGTCGAGTGCTCGGCCAAGAAGAAGCTGAACTTAGAGCAGGTGTTTGAGGAGGCGGTGCGTGCGGTGGAAAAGAAGCCGGGAAAGACTCCACCAACGTGCAAAATACTTTAATTAAGTCCTATGCTTAATGTTTAATATTGTTATTATACGTAATTGTATTATGTAACTATATAATTGTCTGATTAGCGAGCACTCGACTCGCATCTTCCACAGTGTGTGTGTAGAAAAATGTATCGTTATGCTTTAATTATAAGATGTAGTTATGGGAAAACAATATTTGTATGCGACCAAAGTGCATTTTTTATGTAAAAATCAAAACAAAAATTAGAAGTAAAGAATTGTTTGAATTTAAATGCGTACATAACAACGCCTCAATATGCTGTGTATTATATATTTTCAATAAACACTAGTCATTAATATCAATATTGTTTTCCTTTAAAATTACATAGTAAGAGTAATGTGTTTAAATTGCGCGGTTGTAATGGCCATTTCAGAAACGCACTGCTAACTTACAGCAATACTGCAATATGTCGAACTGACTTTCTGGGAGGTATTTTGTTTGGTATTTTTTTATTGGTATTTAACGGTCACACTGACGCTTTGCAAACAGCGCTGAAAACTTACAAATTTATAAACAATGAACAGTGAAAAGGCTGAAAAAGCCAAAGTCAGCGCACAAATCAAACATGTGCCCAAAGATGCACAAGTTATTATGTCCATACTTAAAGAGCTCAACATTCAGGAGTACGAGCCACGCGTAGTTAACCAACTGCTTGAGTTTACATTTCGTAAGTAGCTCAGCTGCATCACAAATTATTTTTCTATAAATAAAAAAACGTTTATTGCTTCGGTAGGGTATGTGACTTGTATATTGGATGACGCCAAGGTATATGCTAACCATGCACGCAAAAAAACAATCGATTTGGAAGATGTGCGGCTTGCCACCGAGATGACTCTGGACAAGAGCTTCACTGGACCTCCGTCACGTCATGTGCTAGCCAAAATGGCGGAGCTGCGCAATGCGATGCCACTGCCTCCAATCAAGCCCCATTGTGGTCTCCGTTTGCCACCCGATCGCTACTGTTTGACCGGCGTCAACTACAAGTTACGCGCCACAAATCAGCCCAAGAAGATGACTAAATCAGCACTGGAGGGACGCACGGTGAAAACGATGGTCAAACCCGTATCTAGCGCCAATGGACCCAAACGTGGCCACTCAATGGTGTCCAAGCAACAAGTTGTCACCATTCCAAAGCCAGTCATCAAATTCACAACCACAACGAAAACGGTTACTAATACGGACGTCAAAAAAGAGGCGAACGCCAGCGACATGAAAATGGAAGTGGACAGCGATGCTGCAGCTGTGGGCAGCATTGGTGGAAGTAATGCGGCTGTAAAACGGGAACGCGAGGAGGAAGAATTTGAATTTGCAGCGAATTAATAACATATATGGATGTAAAACAATCAATTATATTTTAAGCATATATTTGTAACTTTGATAGATATGTGAAATCCACGAATTTCGGATATTCTAGATTATTTTTTTCTTTTACAAAGCAAGTCTCAACTTTAAGACAGCATGGCAGATAACAACGAGCAACAGGTGGCTCTATTGGCGGCATATTTGCCGAATAAATGTACATTGCATACTTTTGTGCTGTCGCTAAACCATATAGAAATCCCTTTTATTTAAGCTTATGAAAACTATCATAATTTGGTGCTCGTGTGTTTCAACTAAATTTCGAGAATTAAATTTATTAATCCACAGTTGGAATCAGTACAAGTCCAATTAATTGGTTGTTGATTGGGACATTTTATACATTGTGGCCACGGCTATAACCAAATACAAATACAAATTTATATGCATATTAAAATATTCATAATATATTAATGTAAAAGTGTTTAATAATTTATTCTTGTTAAATTTCTTCAAACTAGTTGAACAAATTTTATTCATAATTTATTGCCAACCTTAAAATCGGTCGGATTTCTTAACAGTTTGCTCTAGGAGCAAGCTTAGTGCTAAAAATGTTTAAGTATAAGGAATTGGAATTTCTATTTAAGTGCTAGAATGATGGTGCACCCAAGATCCATGATTTGCAAATATTCAGAGCCGCCATCCTGCAGACGATAGCAACATTCCTAAAAGAAACAATGGTGTTAGCTGACTTGTTGCTTATTGGGTACAGGTTTCAACTTACGCCCAGTTTGTCGCATATGATGGCCTTCTGGTTGTCGGTTAGGGAACCGCAGCGCACAATGAACTCCACGAACTGTTCCATCATTTGGCCAACGCTGTAAGCCGAGTAGCCAATCTCTCGTACAAAGTGCTCCAAGCGCTCATACTTGCCCGAGCGACAGACCTCGAGATAATCCTCCAGATAATGCTCTGGTATAATGCCTGACATCTCGAGGAGGTCGTCTGTATTGATGGTGTGGTCGGAGCCTTTGAGACGATAGCAGGACTGCAGAGTGGTTATGGCCCGTCTCATATCGCCGCCGGATATCTTCACAATGGACTTGTATGCATCTGGATCAATGTTAACGTTTTCCTGCATGCAGATGTGCTTCAGTCGAGCAATGATTTGCGTCTCGCCCAGTGCCTTGAATCGAAACTTGGAGCAACGCGACGTAATGGGCACGATGATGCGTGACACATAATTGCAGATGAGGCAGAAGCGGGTGCTGCGACTCTCCTTCTCCATGGTGCGACGCAGCGCAGCTTGTGCCGCATGTGTCATAGAGTCAGCCTCGTCCAGCACAATAATCTTGAAAGGCGGACACGGCCGACCATCGGGTCGCACGTTGCTCGCCGTAAGCTGTGCAAAGTTCTTGATCTTGGTGCGCACCACATTAATGCCGCGTTCGTCAGAGGCATTCAGTTCCAGTATGCGATCGCGGTACATGTCGCCAAATATTTGACGAGCCGCTGCGAGAATCGTGCTGGTTTTTCCTGTGCCGGGCGGGCCGTAGAGCAGCATGTTAGGCAAATCAGCACCTTCAACACATTTGCGAAGTACTGCCACCACCTCAGATTGCTCCACTACATCTTCCACGCTTCTTGGGCGGCTATTTGAAAATATGATTGTAAATTATTATTGCTTTCTATCTTAATGTGCTTCGGGTGCTTCAACTAGTAGAGCGTTCACTTACTATTTTTCCACCCAGGGCGCAGGAGGCTTGCGACGTTCTGTGGGTGCATTAGATGCTTGTTTTTCTGTAGTACCATTGGCAGATTTGCCAGCTTTTAAAAACGCCTGCATTTTGTTATAAAAAACAATGGACCAATTTAAAAGATGCAGCAAAAATTTGGCGCAAAAACACAGCTGAGCAAGATGTTAACTCAAAATGGTAATAACAGTGTCTGCTACTGTTAAACCGAAACCGTGTTGGTAAACGTGCAAAGCGAACTAGTTCTCAGTTACTCAGCAAGTGTTGGCAATCGTTAGATGATGATGTGGAATTTACAAATTGAATTGTTGCTTCATTTAATTTAGTTATTTAAATATAAACACAGTCAACCATGGACATAACGCAGGACTTTAAGGCCAGCGTTATGACAGTGCGGCTGCAACGCAAGACTGAACTGGCAGCGGCCAAGGCCAAAGCTCAGGACAACAAGAAACAGCGTTCAGGCACCGCTTCCGGAAAGTCCACCGCTGGGACAGACGACTTTGCCAAACAGGCGAAGGATGTGTGCAACAAGATAACAACGCTTCGGAATGTACTCATTGAGAATCGCTCGGCATATATGCGAATCGGGCAACATCTGAAGAGCGCCACTCAGATGACGGACGCTGAGCGTGATTTAATTGATCGCGAGTCGGAGAAATTCGTGACGTACTACACACAGCATCTGGCCAAGATGCGCAGCGACTGGAAGAGTGTGAAACGAAAGCCGCAGGAGCGCCAACATATCGAAGCGGTGCTTGATATGCTGGTCAGCTATTTGCACAGCATCGAGCAGATCTACCTGGATCAGAAAAAGTATCGCGTGCAACACGAGCTGGAGACCTACAGGTTACTGAAGCTGGCGGCAGACAAGAAGAAGATACCAGTTCGTCCAGCAGGCAATAATAGCGGCAAACTGGCGAACCGCCAGCAGAGCAACACTAATGGTAGCGTTGACAGCAACGAAGATCTGCTGCGCGATGAGAAAGCGTCAGAGGAAGAGGACAACGATTGGAGCAACGACGGTTGGGCTGAGTGGGATGATGAGCAGGAGGAATCGCAATTGGACAGCAGTTCGATTTCAGATAAACAGCACAAGCCACGCACGCGTAAACGCAGCCGGCAAGCAGAGCCAAAAAGCGACGACTCCTCAGCCAAAGTTGCATTAGACGAGGACATGCAAAAGACAGCGCAGCAGCAGGAGAACGATGAAGAGAATGCCTTAAGCGCCGAGGATATGCAGCTGTTCGAGGCGGAAAATGTACACATTTACAATCTGCTCCAAGGCGTCTCCGAGGAGGTCGAACAAATCGAAAAGAACGTTGTGGACATAGCCCAGCTACAGGACATCTTCACAGAGAAGGTGAGCAGTAAGCAATCCTTTACTCTCAACCAGGTCAAACTAGTGTTTATTCCCTTAACAACAGGTGGCCATGCAGCAGCACAATATCGAGCGCATTGTGAGCGCCGTGGTGGGCACCACGGAGAACGTCAAGGATGCCAACGAGCAGATTCGGCAGGCGACGCAGCGCAACGCTGGCTTGCGCGTCTGGTCCTTATTCTTTCTGCTGGTCATGTCCTTCTCATTGCTATTTCTTGACTGGTACTACGATTAATATACAAATTATATGGTGTAAAAAAATAGAACGAAAATATGTGAATGTGAAAACTCATTAATTGTTTTTGTTATAGCACTCTAAAACATAACTTGTTTATTGCATAATTTATATTTATACATAAAATAAAGTTTGAAAGAATTCCGTTTTGTATTAGTTATTGTTCGTAGTGCTATTTCGCTTCATAACTCAGCGTTACAAAATAAGTTGAGCTCAGACTTGATTAAATTAAAATTAATGTATTGTTTAAATTAAGCTTAGACAGCCAAATATTTACCCATAGAGAGGAAATTCAAATACCTTCTCTCTTAAGGACTAAATTAAATAGGCTTCAATCAATGTGATTCGTTACGAAATGCGTTAATGAAAATATTTGTATTTATGGCAGAGTGTTTGTTGTGTGCTTCAAATCTTTGAGTAAATATTTGGATTGCCACTAAAGATCTTAAATGTAATATTTAAATCTGCGCCTCATTGCTCTTCTAATAATGTTTGCACCTGAAATGACATTACTTAATAAAATAAAGCTATACACATACTTTCTTGTTCACAATTCGTATATATATTGTATATATACATTAGAGTCATTCAATGAATTCAATTCTCCAGTTATTTATTTTAGATCTAAACTTCTGTGGACTAAAATTTATGTGAACTAAGTCTGCGTGTGTGTGTGTCTGTCTGTGTGTGTGTAGCTTAGAACTAGTGTGCATTGAATGCAGTCTGCAACAGTTTATCATGTTGTGCTGGGTTTTTCTCTCTCTGTGTTTGTGTGCTGTGTCTGTGTGTGTGTATGAGTGGAACCCATTGCTAAGCATAGCAATAATAATAGGAGGGCGCCGTTCCAGGTTCCTGATAAATCAAATAATAAAGTTGCGCCAATTGTTACGGCGTATTCACAGTCATGTCCAGCGAAGGCGTCATGCTGCTTTCCACCAGTTCCACGGAGCCAGGGCAATCATCGATGCTGCCGCTGTTCCCATTGCAGTTGCTCAGCGGCGTTAATGGCAGTGATGATTCTTCGACAGTGGCTGACATTGAAGGATTCTCCAGTTTACTGCTTACACTGCTCGGCATCTTGTCGTTGAGAAATACCCCCAGCGGCAGGTGAGTATTTATGTGGGCTGCACATGAAAGCAAATGCAATTAATTAATAACTAATTTCATATGCATGAATTGTGAAAAGAATCTGTTTATAGTCTAAAGCTGGTGCAAGTGTTATGCATATCAGGCAACAACTTATCATAATGAAATCAAAATCATCAGGACTAGCCACTACTACTTAGCCTATGTCTTATTCAAGTGCCTAATAACGTTACCACGATAACTCGTAAAATGTAGAAATGTGCGCGGGCAGCTGTCGCATTTGTAAAATAATTCGCTGTTGTGGCTGCGACGGTGTTTGCGCAAATCTTTCATATAAACGAATACCTCGCCGCATTCTTCGCAATCGAAGCCGCGCTCTGTAAGAAATCAATTTGGGTTTTGTTCTGTAGCTGAGCTGCTGTTGAATATTTAACATGAATTGAGTTAACAGTGTGCCTGTGGGATTAACACGTTTGGCATGTTGTCGAACAGTGAGTTTAACGTTTGTATAACAGCTTGTGATCATCGAGTGTACTGAATCCAATTGGAACTCAGTTGGAAAGTGCGCAATTTGTTTTTTCGCTCGGATGGGATAAACAGGATTACAATTCATAGTTTTAATGACACTCAATTTAAATTGTTGCACTCAACGGGTTGAAAATTTGTTGTTTTTTTTTTTCATATCGAATTATAATGAGGCAGCTATATAAAATCGGTTTTTGCACTTGGCAACTAAACAGAAAGTCTCTATTATTACATGTATAGTGTATTCCTTTCGCCTTATTTTTGTTGTTGTTATGCAATGCTGTTATTATTGACATCTGTTTGTTTATGTGTGTACACAAAACCCATAAGCAATTATCCAAATACAAACTAAATACATTTGCATACAATAAATAAAACTTCGCACTAGTTGATTATCATATGATAGTGCCTCATATACGCTAAAACCCACTCAACGTGATCATTAATTGATCTTGAATGATATAGCAAAATGAAGCGATGTTCAATGCTGAGATCTTAGATAAGCGAGGGACGTACGTTGACAATTTCCGGACGCATGGACTATATAATTAAAAGTTTATTTGGATGCAACTGAAGCAGTTTTTGGATTAGTTCTTAGATTAAATTTCTGCCATGCTGTGCTCTGCGTAAATTGCTCGTGAAATTTAAAGAGGATTATCAATTATTAGATTAATGATGAATGAAAACCTTTAAAAATTATTTTTATTTTAAAAGGAATACTTTAATTATCTTTTCAAGGTTTTCAACCATTGCATGCCATCAAAGCCGTTACGAATGAGACGCAAAGAAGAATTGAAAAGGTTCTCTTTTCTATATGCAGTGAATGCAACTAGGCATTCACAATAGATCATTGTATTTTACCTTTCGAGCGAACAATCACTGTAGAGTAAACTGTTAGCACAATGACAAATAGAAGAGGTTTTATTTGTTTTATTTGGGTTAAGATTAGTAAACAAAGGCTGGAGCTACACGTATTGGTTCCATAAACGCTACGGTTAGTTGATCTCTTAAGATGTACATTTATTAGCAAACTAAATATGATTATGTGTATGTATGTATGCGTATTTCAGGTATAGTTGTAAATATATATATATATATATATATATATATATATATATATATATATATATATTTGTACTGTATTTATATTGTAGTAAAGCTTAGCTAGCATCCAACCGGCACCCGGTTAGCCACCGCATCCGCATGCGTGCGAGCACCCAAAAACTTACCACCGTGAAACTTAATGTGCGTCTTCAAGGCGCTCTCCGTACCAAATTGTTTACCACACTCATCGCAGGTATGCGGCTTGATCAGCTCATGGACGGTGAACTTGTGCATGGCCAGCTGCTTGAACTCCGGAAAACGTACCCAACACTCGTTGCACTCGTACGGCCGGCCCTTCGGCTCGTGCGACTTCATGTGATTGTCCATATCGGTGCGTTTCCTATAGCCTCGCTTGCAGATCCCGCACACCCAGGGCATCGTTGTCTGAGAGTCGTGGGCCAGTTGCTGGTGCTTGCGCAGCGCAATGATGTTCGTGAAGTGCTTCTCGCAAACGGCGCACTGGTGGTTGCTGCGCAGCTTGCCCAACTGCAATGTGGTGCTCGTCTCCATTGTGGATGAGGACGGCGATGAAGACGGCGACGGCGACGGTGCAGTCGATAGCATTGTTGTTGCCGCCGTAGTTGTTGTTGTTGCTGAAGTTGCCATGGAAGCAGCTCCGGCTGACGTGCAGTTGCTGGCTATACAGCGCTTGCGGAACTGCCTCAATGTGGCCGTCGTCGAGTCCGGCTCCGATTGCTCCGGCGACGGCAACGTTATGTGCGGCGCCGGTTGCGGCGATGGCAGCGATGCGATTGTCGAGGGCGGCGTCAAAACATTCGGCGGCGGTTGCAAGTTCGACAGCTCCTCATACGACGCCTGCCCCCTGCCATGAGTATTTCCACTAACCGAAGAGCCTGGCAATTAAATATAATATGAACAGTTTAATGATTCCGTTTCACTTGCACTAGCTCCTAATACTTACAGTCCTCGCAGTCTGGGCAGCAGAGTATGCGCGTCCTGCGTGGCTGTTGGCAACTTGTTTGGGATTCCAAAGCTACGCATGCGCAGGAAAATTTAGTTAAGAAGAAGAACAGAATTATGAGAGAGAGAGAGAGAGAGAGAGAGGGAGGAAGAGAGCGCAAGCAGTAATTAGTAATGGCAAAATAGAGTTGGTTTAAACTAATGCAATAGTATACGTAGTAGTACAATAACTATTTAAGGAACCAAATTCAACTACAACAGGAATGCTAGCAATCTGCAGTTTAAAGAGAGCTAGTTCAGGAAAGGGAACTAAAATAAATAATTATAATAGGGGAAGAGCTTCACGAAGAATTTTGTTACTACTATTTATCTAAATTTCATTTATTATTCATATTAGAGAGCTCGCTATTTTGAAAAGAGAAACTATTACGGATGGATTGCAATGGAATGGAATAGATCTAGTATATTTTCTAATTAATGCTAAGAATCAGATCTATATATTTAAAAAGTGGTTAGCTATATGAAAATTCAGTTCAAACTTCATTTCATATGATTTTAAGCTGATTCAAACGAATGAAGTAAATATTAAGAAATAGAAACTAATTTTCAGAGCTTAGAGACTCCGATTCACAAAAGAAACTAGTTCAAATGAGTTGTTGTAGCAAACAACAAACGAATTTACTGATTGATAGAAAAGAATTAATTAATGGGATATCTAGGATATCAACTAAAACTAAATCAAGAATATACCCAGACAATAATTGAAATTCAGAAAATTCGACAACCACCTGTTGAACCACTTAGTTCAGTTTAGTACTTACAAGGTATATGCTGGTGGTGCTGCTGCTGCTGCTGTTGCTGGAGTTGCTTGTGCTGCTCGCTGTGGTTGTTGTTGTTGTTGGCTATTTGTAAATGAACCTCCTCGAGGCGCACGCCAGCAGCAGCAGGAGCAGCATCAGCTGGTGGCTCGGTGGGCAGTGGCATATGGAAGCGCTGCAAGTGTAGATCCAGAGCACGCTGCGAGGGCAACAGCTGCGAGCATTGGCCACACTGGAACTGCTGCACCATGTGATTGCTAAGGATGTGCTGGTTGCGTTTGTTGCGCCCGGCAAAAGCCATCGGGCAATGGGGACAGTTGAAAGGCGCCACGGGCGGATGCAGCTCAATGATGTGGCGACTGTACTCCAGGCTGCTGGAGAAGCGTGGTCCATTCTGACAGAAACGGCACTTCAATACGGGCGGACGGCCTCGTGTGGGCGGCGGCACGGCAGCAGGAGGTGTGCTTAATACTGTATTTTGTACTTGTTGTTGTAGGCGTTGGGGCTGTGACTGCATCTCTTGATGCTGCTGCTGCTGCTGCTGCTGCTGCTGCTGCTGTAGATGCGGTTGCAATTGTTGTTGCGGATAGGCGGCGTGCAGCTCATTGCTCAGGCTGGCGCCATATGTTATATGCAGCGGCGGCTGCTGCGGATTGCTGGCGGATGCCACCGGCTGCTGCAGCTCCGGCTGCTGTATGAGTATCATAATGGGTTGCTGCTGGTGCTGCAGCTGCTGCTGCTGCTGCTGGGGTTGCGTCTGCTGTTGTGGCTCCTGTTGCTCCAGCAGATAGTTCTCATTGCTGTCCAGCAGCGCATAGCCATTGCCCGTTAGCTGCGCCGTTTGCGACTGCAGCTGCGTCTGGTAGAGATCACCGGCACTGATATAGTAGGTGGTTGTGCCACTGCCATCCAGGGCGTCCACGCCGGCCACGGGCGCTGTCTTGATGGCCTCCAAGCCGCTCACCGTTGACCACTGCAGTTGAGCCCCTGTTGTCGGCTGGGTGGTAGTTGCTGGAGCCTGCCACAGCGTCTCCTGTGGCTGCATCTGGATCACCTGCAGCTTGCTGCTGTTGGCTGAGGCAACAGGATACAGTGACTCATAGCTGACTGTCTCCGGCTGCATCTGCAACTGTTGCTGCTGCACCGTCGGCTGCAATGACTGCTGCAATGGCTGCTGCGCTGGCTGCAGATCGTTGAGTAACTGCGTCAGCTCCAGCTGCAGGCTCTGCTGCGCCGCCGTTGACTCGGCCGTCGCCTCAATGTTCTCGAAGCAAGGCATATCGTTTTGGAAGCCAATCAGCTCATTGCTAAAATTACTGCTATCGAACAGATTCCCCTCTTTCACCTGCTGCTGCTGCTGCTGTTGTTGTTGCTGCTGCATCTGACTCGCCTCAGCTGGCGGCTCATAGAGCTGCGTCGCTGCCGGCGTCGCCACAGGCGCTTCCGCTTCATTGTGCACAACGTAATCCGCGGGCGTCAGCAGCTCATCGATGGGCGTGCAGACAGGCGTGTAGAGATGCTGATCCTGCATCTCGTTGAGTATGCCATGCAACGTACTCTCCACGTCATTCATCTCCACTTCTAACTGCTGCTTGGCCTCCACCAGCTCGAGTTCCACATTGAGTGGCGACTCCTGCGGCTGCGAATGCGACTGCGCCTGTGCCTGCGACTTCGACTGCGACTGCAGCTTGAGCGTCTTCTCGCAGTGCTTCTCGAATTCGGCCAAGAAGTCCATGGAGTTGGCAGTGCTAGCACGTGGCAGCTGCATCTCGTTAACGTTAACTGGCTGATGCTGCTGCATATTGACCAGTCGCTCCAGCGACTCCATGTCGTCGTCCAGTGTTGCCACCACAGTCACAGTCACGCCCCCATTGGGCTCTGCTTCAATTTGGTTGGTTGTGAGTGCCACAGCAGAATTGAAGCTATCTGCTGTAGCACTCTGGCAAAAATTCTCGCCATTCTCATTGTTGTTCACATCGTCCGCTTCCGCTGGCTCCTTGGGCTCCGTCTCCTGCTGCTCGGTATCCACCAAGGCATCTGTGTTGCTGCACAGCTTGCGCTGCAGGTCATCGTCTAGCACTTCCAGGGGTATGCTTACTTTAAGCTCCGACTCCTTACCTTCCTCATCCGCCCGCAGCTCCTCATGCGCTATGTGCAACTCTATTTCGGACTCCGCTGCGGGCACCTCGGGCGTCAGGGATTGTCTGCCCTGCTCCGTAGTGGACGATGTCAGCTCTTCGAATTGTACTGTCGAATCAGCTGACTCGGCAATTCCATTCGTCATTTCTATTTCGCTAGCCACGTTAGCTTCCTTTGATATGCTGTCCATTTGTCCGATTGGCTTTATGACCTCAGTTTCTTTGACTGCAGCGTCTAGAGAGGATTCGATTGGCTCTGACGGCGCCGGAGAGGTGCAGATCTGTTCCTGCTGTTCCCTCAATTCTCTTATTTCTGCAATCGTGTTTACCGCATTCCTATCAGCTGCTGTGCTCGCTGCTGTTTCGCTCGAGTCCACCGAAGAGTTGCTGGCAAACTTCTCTAATGTCTCGTTTGCGACTGTCGTCTGTGGAGAATTCTCTGCTAATGTATTGCTGCACTGTTCCATCGACCCTTCATCGCACAATTCGTTCTTGACAATCTGCTGTAACTTCTTCTTGCCTGTGATGCGCCTCGATCGCTTGAGCGGCACAGAGTTGACTTGCAATTTGCGTCCACAGCGCACCACCATGGGCGACTTTTTGGGCGACCGACGCTTTGGTGGAAACTTCCGCTTGGATTTCGGCGTTGTTGCCTTTTGGCCAGCAGTCAAAGCTGTTGCTGAGGAAGCGTATGAGCTGGAAGAGGTTGACGAGGAGTAACTGTGGCCATCAATGTCAAAGCCGAGACATGGATTCACAGACAAATCACTCAGCTGCTCCAGTGACGTTTGGCCTGAGCTTGATTCCGTCTCAGTTTCGGAACTCGGCGCTGACTGAAGCGTTGGCAGCTGCACCTTTGGCGGCTCATCCGGCGTCGTGGTGTCTGTGCCGCAGTTGGACATTGTGGAGCAGCTTGACAACGTTTCGGAGAGCTGTTTGCGCGCCGCTTTCGTTTTCCAGGGCACGTGCATTCGTTTGGTGGGCGACCTGTGTGGCGTCCGCCCCCTCAACCTCACTTCGCCCTGCTGGGACACACTTCGTGTTGCTGGCGTCGGCGTAGGTTCAGTCTCTATTCTATTGCCTGGCAACGAGGCAGTTCGCATTTTGCGCGCACGCAGCTGCAGATGTTGGACACTCGATGCCGTCGGCACTTCCACATCGGCTTCAGTCTTGGCTACTTTGGGCTGCGGCTGCGGCTGCTCGATGCCGAGCAGCAGACGCCGCTTGCGCTCCGCTTGCGACTCGGGCAGATGAAGATAATCTTCTGCAGGTACATCACTCAACTGTGCTCGCCTACCCAGCTTGGCAGCCAATCGTTGTTTGCGCTCGGCTATATTCTTGGCATACTCCTCCAGACGCAGCTGCACACGCAAGCAGCGCCGCCGAAACTTGGCCACCATTATGAATTGCGCCTTGCATTGACGGCAAATCTCCTGCGGCAGGCCATCCCTATATGAGATCTGCAAATGGAAAAATCTGTTTAATAAAGTTGACAAAATGTGGGGTTACTTCTATGGGGTTACTGTTCTATGTTAAAGAGTGGGCCAAATATATATATGTGCCTTCAGAGTTATTTAACATTAAAAAAATGGATTAAAAAATGGATCATATAATATCCAATAACGATTTAATGCATATATCTTGCCCAATTGTTGCCTAACATCCGTTTATAATGGTCATTTAAATTAATTGCCTGTCCTACAATTGTTTTTATAAAACCATTTGCAGTTTGGATTTGGATTTGAGTTCCATCGTAGCTGTCGGTATTATATTTTTAATTGATCGATCATTCTATATATTGATCATTCTATATATATACATATTTGATATATTTTATTTTATTTTGTCAGCCACAAAGTCCCAAAAAGTCTAGCGATTGATCAAGGCAATTTATTTGAAATTTTTGTGGTGTTTCGCATTTTTTCGGATAATTTGTTTATTGCGATGCATACATAATAACAAATTTTTTTTGTTGTTCTAGGCTTGAATTGATTTACTTTAAACTTTTCCCCTTTAAGAATAGCCTAACAGTGCTTAATTAACAGTTGACTCACATAACATAACATAATTGTTACGGCACGTTTCTAGCATCTAGTCTACAAAAACTAATCAATAACATCACCATAACATCATTTAATAATAATAAAAAAAAATTAAAAAACAAAGCTATAATTTTTTAAAATATGTAAAAATATTTTTATAATAAATAAATGTACTTCAAAGTAATTCAAGTGCTTATCTTTCACTTTTCGTTGACTTTATGTACAAATTAGGCATTAAATTGTTGGCATTGAAAAATGCTTATAGGGCAAGAAATATTGACTGATTAACTATTGTCTCTGGCTCAGCATAAATAAATATTTTATGGCCAGTTGAGCAGACAAAGCGGCTTCACGAAGTGTGAGGAAAGTTCCGTCCAGCGTGGCCAGCCAAGTGGCAAAATTTACAGCCACTTGTCGCTCATGCCTCATGTTGTTATTTGGAGCAAATAATTTGTCTTTGTTATCCAAATGAACGATTTCATTAGTGTACAAACAACAACAACAACAATACTAGCTGAACGAACAGAAATAAAAAAGCAAAGATCCAAAACAATTATGACTGCAAATTATCTCAAGATAGTATCAATATAATTATGCAATAGACTTGGAGCAAACAAGCGTTGATCTCATTTTTTCTTAAATTATGATTAATTAGAGAGCTGTCACGTTACGGTCTAAAACCTTTTTACGTTTGTAGGCAAGCGAATTTGTCTTCACTTCCTTCATTGAGTCGCATCCATTAGCATTTGAGTATGAATTCAGCTAGAAACTGTGAGCTCTTTTGCATTCCATATCTCTTCAGAGAGCGACTTCATATCACACTAAGTGTAATAGTATATATTATTATTATTATCATATTGCTGTCGAGTTCCAATATTTCGAAATGTCAAGAGAATACGTTTTTTCGATTTACACAGAAATTCAAATTATCGAAAATTATCGAGAACACGATTTTCGATTTAGAGGGCTAGAAATTATGGAGACTCGACTGCATTATTATCTTGTTATTGATCTGTAGTAAATAAAATTTCATTCAATTCCAGCGCTTACTGTTTTAGTAATCAATTTTGGCGACACGTGTGAAATTGAAAATTCAAAAATTCGAGGTCAGACCTTATCGTTGACACTGCTAACGGTTGTTTGGTTCAAGATCTTGTCATTGATTGATAATCACTTGTTTACAGTGCCAATAGATGCGAGACAAGGGCAAATGCCGGATCTACGAGGAAGAGCATCGCAGCCGATCCAATCCAGGGCGACGAATTGCAAAGCATTTTTGATTGGAGTTCAACTTGTAAATGCATAAAATGCAAAATGAAGACGCGACAGCAGCGGGAAAGGCAAAAGAAAAACGCGTAACGCAAACGGATCGAAAATGCGAGCAACGTGATTGGGATACAGATAAGGGCATATGAATTGTATTGACGTTACTCAAAGTATAAACCGTATGGTAATTGGCTACAAGTTCCCAAATCGGCATAAGAGTGTACACAACAACAACAATAATAATAATAACAACAACAACAACATGAAATTGTACAATTGTGATCGTTATTTATGCAGAGTTGGACAATAAAAGAGACGGAAACTCAGCATTTCGAATGCATGAAAACCGCCGACTCTGCATCGCCAATGAGTCCCCGAGCGAGTGCCAAACAGAGATGGAAGATAGCGCTGATGCAGAGATAGAAATAGATATACGAGACGGCATAGACGCCGAGGAAGTGCCAGAGACGTTGTCAAGTGTAAATTACACACAGCACAGATAAAGCAGACAACGAAGCGAACAAATAAATAAATAAATGAAGACTACAAATAAAAAAGACGCGAATTAACTAACGGCCGATCAAAGGCGAACGCCTGGCCCCAGCTAAGTATAAATAGATGCAATCAAAGAGTGCAGCAAATGCTCTTTGAAATGCATTCGAATTGAAGAAGCCCCACGAAACGGAATAACAACAGAGCGTACTTGAAAAACAAGAGGAGAGATTATTTCAATTGAGATATTTCACAGGAAAATGCATCGCATTCAAATATTTGATTTAGCCGTATATTATAGGTTCTCAAAGAGAATCGATAGAGATAAATATCTTACATTTTCTATATGTATAATATATTGTTAAATGAATGTTTGCTTGTGTGTATAAATGCATAGATATGGGAAGTCTTTTTTAAAAATTATTTTTTATCTTTGTATATATTTTGAAATAAGAAATGTGAATATCGGAGTATTTAGAATGTTTTAAATCACATTAAATAGAATATTAATTTTATTTGTTTTATTTGACTTTGTCAATTTCAGATTTCCGTTTATCAGATTTCTGGTTTATCGTATAGTTTATGTAAACATATATTCTTATATTTCAGCTGTTTGATCAACCTTTGAAAGTCATCTCAATTGTCGACTTTGTCGAGAACGCTACACAGATCATCCATTTGTCAATATCGTCGGTAATCAACGAGTAAAAAGTACAGCTCAGGTCACATTGACCAAACACGAAACACGACCTATTCATATTTATAATTAATAATGAAGATATTTTAGTTACAGCAACGTAAGCTAAATAAAAATAATAATAATAATGACAGCTTTAAGTGCCGGATTTGTCAATATATAAATATCTATATCAATATTTGTTTAAAACACATCTATTTAAACTATAACCAACTCTTCAGATCGGTAAAACGTTGCGAATCGCATATTACTTGCAAATGAATTGAAAGTCAACATCGAGTTATACACAAATTATGAGTCTGTTAATTTATTTTGCATAATATATTCCACATTCAGAGATCGCTGCAAAATGATAAAAAAAAAAAGTTTAAAATATACACACAAAAAAAAAAAAAAAAAAAAATTATGTAAAATTGGGTAAAAGTTGTAGGAAATTGTATCAACTTTAATCAGGGGATGTTAAATATTACTAAATTTGCTTAATTAAAATCTCATAGCAATCTGAAGAGAGATTAAAAAAAATAAAAAGCTTAAGCACGCAAGATTGTTTATTGACTATCATCAATTAAATTTGTTGTTCGATACTTTGTATTTAATACACATAAAAGATTTACTTTAATCTTTATTGAAAAAAAAATTAGGCTTGCTTGTTTTACAACTTGTTAACATTGTCTACATATAAATTTGCATTTAAATTAATAAATATTCTTTAAAAAGACAAAAACAATATCATGAGTAATGCCTCGCCTCCAGGCACGGGTTCAAAAGCCGCATTAAAAATAGCATATATAGCAAATATCTGGCAAAGTGCAAAGATTTTGTAAAGCCCATGTAAATATATAGCATAACAGGTTTACATGGACGATAAACTGTAAAATCTAATGAAAGAGTTAAAAGCTAATACGTGCTTGATCTTTTACTTGGCTCTTGACTTTTACCTCTACTACTTCGCTCTATAAATCATTTCTTTAATTGTTTACCAACTACACGAAAATAATTAATTTTCTTTGCAAAAGCCGTGCAGCGAAAAGGAAAAGCGTAGTGAAAATTGCATGCAAGGCAAAACAATTCGCAGCAAAAAAAAAAAAAATAAATAAATAAATAATACGATGTTAGCCGTCGGCGAATTGGCCGAAAATTAATAACTGAAAAACAGCAAATGGCCATAAATATATATGTCTAGGCGAAGCCAAAGAGAAAGAGCGAGAGGGAGAGAGTGGAGGAGCAAGAGAGCGAGAGGGAGAGCAATTGGTGTTGAATACAGACAATAAATCGCTTGTACCCAAACATAAATTTACATTTTTGATGATAATTCTCCCGTAGCACCGGCACACACAACAACACAACCCCAGACGGTAAATGAAAGTGGAAACATAAGTCAACACGGCTCAAGAAGAGGGACTTGGCTAAAGTGCTACTAGAGAAATGTCGCATCTTGGCGCCGGGGTTGACAATGCCAATGTTTAACCAATTAACGAGGGGGTTGCTCGCCCTTTTCCATCTTATTCGTGTGAATGTTTTGGAGGGTGTTAAATTCAGTCAATTCATTTAAAGCGCACGACTCTAATGTAGCCATAAAAAAAGCCACAGCAGACAGCGCCAAATATCAAACTGTAATCAAATTGCACACGCCCAACCTAAAATAGAGGCAAAAGAAAAACAGGAAAAAACAAACCCGAATGGAGAACAGACAGACTGAATGAGCGAGAGGCAGCATCACTTAATAAATCATAGCTAATAGAGGCGAGGCAGAGAGGCGTGTGCAGGCGAGGGAGGGGGGGAGCAATTTAGACAGTTTGTCCCCCATGCCATAAGGCAAAACACACGTTCGGCTGCCCCCCGCGCTCGAAAACCAATTCCACAAGGGCAGCGTTGAGTGGTTAGCTCTTTGTCAGCCAACCAAAGCTAACGGTGAGAGCGCCACGCACAGCAAGAGAGACAGAAAGTCTGGAAGAGAGAGAGA